TTGATCTGAACCCAGCTCATCAGATCCTTCACAACAAATGGAGTCAAGTCCGCCTCACGTACTCTGCCCTCCCCCTTTTGCCATCCCCGCGCTCTCATAGGTCTGCACGGTGCATCGGTATCTGCAGCCCAAATCATGGCTGTGACACTGGCCAATCACGCGCGCAGAAACACACACACGGAGACCCAGACGCACGCACGCACCCCTCGATGGGGAATTATTTATTTATATACATTTACATGAAAATATATATTTATACATATTTTTTCTCACAGCGTCTATTTTCCCCACCGCATCAATCATGTATTTTACAGCCTTCTCACTTGGTGTTATGTCACACAGACTTCAAGTTGACAAAATGATCGCTGATTCATTTCCTATCTGAAAAAAAAAATCTGTATTATTCATGAAAATGTCCTGCTTGATCAGAGAAAATTGTTACTTCCTGTTTCAGGACAGAGGGGAGATATTTTACGCTCGAATTAAATAAACATTAGACTCGTGATGGGTGAGTGGAAGGAGACTGTCGGCAAAGCTAGAGTAAAATGAAAATAAGAGAGACGTGGTCTGATTTTTAGACAAATTTTCATTCGTGTGTGAGCATTCCCCTCACGCAAAAAGAAGACATATTAGCTGATAACTGCTGGCAGATTTATTTATGTACTAATAAGTTATTGATTCGTGTCTGTGCCGTATTGGTGATTAAAGCACAATTATATATATATATATATATTTACATATATGTTAGGCTACTACATACCAAGAAAATGTGACGTGGATTTGGGTTGTTTCAAGATAAACCCCCAAATATAATCTCACACGAGGCTAGATACAGAGATCTTTTTTATAGGAGATTATTCGGGCACGGAGGGGCCTATAGTAGCAACAGCATCGAGTTGACGCGAGCGTGCATCACTTTGACTGGATTACTGTAGATCTTGATAACCTGAGGCATCCAGAGTTGAAAGTTGAAGAGGTCACCGGGAGGTCAGCATTACACATTTCCACCATTCAGCTTAACTGCAGTCTCTCCATTCATCTTTTTTGTATTAATTTAAGCATCAACCATATTTTCAGATTAATAATTTAAGCAAAATATCCGAGATATTCACGACATAACCATCTTAGACATGATAGGTGGACAAGGTCTAAAATAGCTTACCAGAAAATACTAGAGCTTACATACTGGCTTAGGACATAACACAGCAGTTATTCGATACGCTAAGATTACTACATCAAATTAATGTAAAAATGTTATCTCCTGCAGGCAATTCTTGCGCATAAATAGCGCTCTTTTACGCACGAGAAAGTCTCAGGTTTAATCGACCTGCACGTGACTATGTTTTGGTTCAAATACGCAGTCATAATTGCAGCTCTTACCGTTTTAAATTATCCAAATCCCAGGTGTAGACCTCTGCAGTTTGGTCCACAGCCTCTCCTGCATAACGCGACAAGCGGGTACTGCAGCGAGCGCGCTGCCACTGGGAGGGACAGGGTCCGTATACCCTCTGTGTGTAATTGTGTGTGTGCTAGTGTGCGTTCATGTGTGTAAATGCAGATCCATCAAGTTTCCGAGCTGCTCGGACACCACGCCAATAAGCCTAACAGTATATACGCTCAGACGCACGCTACATCTGTGCGTTTTAAGCTGGCGCTGACGATTAGGTTACACGCAGCGTGGATTTTGATCTGACAAGTTATTCACTGTTTTCCCACTGATTGCCACGCTGATGTGAAGTTTAGAATGAAAAGCTTCCATAGGCCACATGTTATATATTTTTAGTACCAGCATAGTTTCTAAAGTCGTCTCTAAACAATCATTTTTGGGGGGTGGAAAATGAAAATTCAAGAGAAGCTGCAGTAGATTATTTGGTTGATGTAGCCGAGCCTATACAGTCTGGGCAGATTAGCGTTTCCCTGCCAGAAAGATTGGCCTGAATAATGTTCGTCACATTTATTATGTTTGTTTACAGAAGGTTTTTAATAGTCCACTGCTCAAAGATTTTGCTTTTCAGTGATAAGTCAAAACGTCAACTTAAATATTTTTACACAACAAAGACTCTTTTGCATTTCTTTAAAACTGTATTTGTGTGATGACACCGCTGAAACAACAGTTCTGCAGAAAGAAATAGGCTGGACAATTCCCACAATAAACTTTTTCGCAATTAACTTTGGTTTTATTACTCACCTCATTTGCTTTTTAATCTATCTGAAACAGCAAACCCACATACAAACATACAAGATTTAAATATATATATATATATTTCAGAGGGCTTCCTACATAAAAGAAACATGTTATTAATGTATTTTGGTTTTCAGGCTATTGGAAGGTTGTTGCAATCCGTTTATTTATTTAGAAAATTACAAGTATTTTCTCTATTCCTCGAAACACAAGGTTTTTTAAGTTTAAATATAGTTTCCCAGAAATATTTGCTAAAAGTCAATTAATTATTAATATGGGCCTGCAAGCTAAATCGAAACCTGCCGAATTGCCGCTTAAAATACACGCAGTTTGGCGCTTCTTTATAAGCGTTAAAACATGAAAATTTTATTTTAACCATTTTTCTATGGACGGCCTATAAATATTTGTGATAATAAAATAAAAACCTTGGAGAAATATTGCGGATTAATAACCAAATAGTGACAAAACTACTAATTCTTTAAAAGAATCTTACTTAACAAAGAGCGTTAATTTATCATTTAAATTATGAGTTTGAAACTTGTCTTTAAGAACAAATGTTTTTTTGTCTAACTATCCGATTGCTCTCAAAATGTAGGCACATTTCTTTGAAAATGAAACATTTACTATTGGAAACCACATTTTTACAGGGCACACACCTCAGTATTCAGTCAAGTTCATGTTTGACTGAATACTTTTGTGTACTTGCTATTTAAAACAGTCCCACGTCTAATATTTTAATCTTTAGTTTTAAGTGCTTAATCTCATTATTAAATCGGCTTCTTAGGGTATAACTCTTCATTTGGTATGATCCTGTAGCTGCTTGGTCCAGAAGAAGAAAAGCTAGAGGCAACAGTTTGAATAAATGAGGTGGTGGTGGTTGCTGGAAGGCTCATTATTGTCCCATCCTGGCTTCAGCTGACTGGATCCTCTGTTCTCTGTCTGGAGGAAGTGGTGAAGGGGTCCCAGACCTCCTGCACTCAGCAGGTCTGTCTCACACACCTCCAGCTCGGCTAGAACGAGTGTGTGTATGTGTGTGTGGCATTGGAGGGCAAGGTCAACCCATTTCTCTGCAAACAATCACATCACACAGGGCAAAATACATTCCAAACCCCCCCTGCCTCCAGTTTGTAAGGTGGTCTGATGTGGGAACAGCGGAGGGTGGAGGTTTGGCAGTGGTCCAGAGGGGGCCTCTGAGTCCAGATGAAGGAAAACCTGTTCCACATTAATATGACTTCATATTACACATGTTGGAAAGCCTCTGCTTCCTGCTGGGCACTAATTTAATGCTTTGCTCATCTGTAATATCAGAGAATTAACGGACTAATAACAGAGCAATATGACATCACACTAAACCAGAATGGTTTACCTAAACCATTATCTAAAGGACTCTCCACACACACACACACACACACACACACACACACACACACACACACACACACTAGCTAGTTTAATCTGAATTATTAGCTATTATTAATCTGAACTACAGGAACCCGAGAAAGTCTTGCAATTAGAAGTAGTGTCACAGACACACTCTTCCAGAGCTTTACAACATTGTTACCCATGAATGAATGAACACTCTCAGTTTATTGACCTGTGGGCAAAACTCTATGCGGGTAACTCACCATCAAAGGTCTTGATGCTCAGCTTCTCTGAGATTTTAAGGGTATGAAATAGAGCTTGACACATAAACTTCAAGTCCCACTTGGATATTCATGCCACAGTGTCTACATTTTTGCACTGGATTGTATTCAGGGCCTATAAGCTATACAAAACACAAAGTAACCCTTAAACCTCTGGAGAATCAAATTTATATGCAAAAGATTTTTTCGCTAGAACAAAACTTGACCGAGTCTGTCTAGTTTTAATGTGTTTATTTTTATATAATACAGCCAGTCTGTGATTACTGATAATACACTTCTTTTCTAAACAAGTCTTTGTTATTATTTGCCCTCCTTGGTTTTATTATTGTGCTTATATCTTGGAGGGGATTAGTGTGAAAATCAATGGGAAAATGCTGCAACTGTTCAAATTTAAAATACTATTTCAGTGCTTTAATGCTGAAAGGCTTTACAGCTTCTTGTCAGACTTTTTAGGGAGTTTACAGCAAGTCAATGTAATCTCACTGAACTACAAGCATGCTGCTCATTGAGTGTTTTGACAGCCTCATAGTATGTTGAATGAAGTGCGGTGTATCACAGCTCCCTCTAGTGGTAATCGTCTGCAAACGGGGAACTAATAACTGGTAGCATAAGAGATGATTATCATAAGATGTCATAAGAAACAAATAAATCCTCAAATCGGTGTACAAGCAACAACAAGCTTTAATCTTAAAATCATTTCTGCTGAGAGAAATAATTTTATCTTGTAACATTTAAAATAACCAGAGTGTAACCAATGTGAGCAGGAGGGAGAGAGAAAGAGAGAGTGCAGTGTGCTGCAGAGTCATTCATGTGGGAACATTAACATTTAGGGGAGCAGTGTGTCTGCCTGCCCTCATAGCTGCCCATCACTCACAGGCATCAGACCGAAGTGCTGTGTGACCTTTAAGTTATGTTTGTGGAGACAGGAAAAAGAAGTTCAACCTCGAAGGCTTCTACCGTGATGCTGTATTTCCAGACGTTTATCTCTTTGTTTCTCAAACTATGAACAAACTCAGAGAGGCAAGATTACTTCTGAGCTTTCTATGTTGCTTTCAAGTTTCAGATCCATGCCAAGCCCCACAGTTAAGGAAGTTTTTAAACCTGGAGGTCATGCACAGACAGGTACACGTTCCCCAGAATGTCACCCCCTATCCACTTCATTTCTTTTTTTTTTCTTTCCTAAACCTCGTAAAAAATTAGTCACTGGCTTCATCTCCACTTTTCCTGTGTTTCTGCTTGGATTTCTCTCATTACCTCCAGGAGCTTTGTCTTTAACAGACTGAAAACTCATTTCAACACAGCTGACATTTCACGAGCACTGAGGGCCTTTTTACCTATACTGACACAATTTAAGCTGTTCAGTTGGAGACATTTCACCCTCACCAGTCGCACAGCTGCCCTAGGAGGCACAGAGGGAAGTGGACAGAGGTCAGGACAGAGTTTTAGGGCAATTTATCTAATGGACTTTGCACTGGATGTGTGAAACACTTCACTTAACTCAGCCTCTGGCCACTCAATTGGCGTGTGCATGCACGCTCGTGTTTGTGTCTATATGTCATGCATGTGTTTTAAGGTGACAGTGTTAAAGGGCAAGTGTGCTGGCACTGACCCTTTGAATGTTTGGAAGTTGGGGATTTTCGCCCTTTACAGAGAAAACGCATAAAAAGTTTTTAAGACTCACCAGCATCACTTCGATCAAAAGATAACCTTAATGTTACAATGTGTTTAGGTTTAAACTCTGTATGGGCATACAAGGCATTACATGACAGGAGGTGGGAAAGTCGTAAACCTTAAAAATCAAAAACAGCCTAAACTAGACAAATAAAAAGCCTTGTTTTATTCACAAGAAAGAAAATTAAGCTTAATTGCAGGCAGATGAGTGCATATAGCGTCAGAAAACGGAAACAGGAATAAACCTGGTACCACATCAATGAAATCTCAACGTGAGCCTAACAAGGGTGTAAAAAAACAAAAACAAAAGGCATAATCTAAGAGGAAACTGTAGTACATGGTGTGAAAGCTGTGACAAAACAAGAAAAAAAAACAAGTAAAAATAAGAAACACAGTGCAGATAACATTACCCAAGGCAGTCGCAAATCTTCCCACATAATTCTGCAAAAAGAAAACTGCTTTACCAACAACTGAGCTAAATTAGTACCATGAAAACACTGCAGCATTAGTATGGTACCGTGTTCAAACCAAACGGAAGAGTCACAGCTTACTGAAAATTGATCTTTAAGCAAAGTATTAATATTAATAGTGGTGGATACGAAAGCCCTGAGAGGCAAGCAAGAACAAAAAAATTGCGGAGATCCATTTGCAAACTCTAACTTGTTCTCCATCCCGGGTTTATGAAAAACAAGGGCTGGTTTGGCAAGGTTAATTTTCTAAATTAAATTTTCCCCCTAAAATGCTCTGGCACATTAAAAAAAAAAAAAAAAAAAAAAGAGGCAAAGGCTGCCAGTGTCAGAACCATTTTTCCAACTCACTTTCTTCTCATGTTGGAAAACAGCTGGAAGAAAAACCTTTTGTCAGAAAAACATGCTTTTCTATGGGGGTTTTTTCACTGAAAACAAGGAAAAAAAAAAAAAAAATTTCCTGCCCTTTGCCATTTCTGTAATACTTATATTGGCCACGAGAGGGTGACAGGTCCCACTGTGCCATGTTCTAAGGTAAAAGCATTTATGTTAATTTCTTCACCCACTCTTAAAAACAAAGCACATATATTATGTCTTAAGAACTTATCTCAAGTTCCCATCCTGCTTTTCTTTTGACGTACGTAGGTGGGTTGGGTTTTCCCAGCATGCTGCGAAAAAACATGCCAGCGGACACAAGCTGAAGTAAATTGTGTTGATACAGATGTTATCGTGCACACAGTCATTAGTGTTACTCTTCTTCGCATCAACTGTACAATCTTCCTAGTACCTTAGAGTTGCTGTTGTGGAAGGCGTGTCAAGCCATGGGTGAACTTGTGTGCTCCCTTTAAGACACAATAATCCAACTAAAGGGAAACATGTCCGGCTTTGTCTGCTTTAAAAATGGAGTGTTGGCTTAATGTGGCTAAAATGACTATTGCAAGAGCAAAGCCTTTCAGAAAGAGAGCAAATTGATGACATTTAGCAAAAAGTGAATGAAATGTAAAAAAATGTTAGCCATTCTTAATTCATACAAACAAGAGAAGAAACAACAGAGCAGGTTTAGAAATGGATCACCAGATTTTTTTTCCCCCTTTACTTGCCTCTGAGGGTTTTCATGGCAAAACACATGAAAGACAACAGGTATAAAATGCTTGTTAATTATTATGTGAAGTTTTTCCACACATGATGCCCCTCAAGAGCAAAGGAAAACACTGTTGGCCCGGGAAAAAAACAAAAAAAAAAAACAACAAAAACACAACCGTCTGATACATTTAAACACAAAAACAAGCTTGGACATAAAAATATATTGTGAATGTGAACACTTGTAACTGGGGTGATAAGTGGGTCCTGCTGATAGGAGCAAAGAAACAGAGTGAAAAGCGTGTGCCATCATTTTACTGTCGGCAATAATCAACAAAATCATTCAAGTTTTCAGAGGAAGTTACACTTACAAAAAAAGGAAAAAGAAAACACTCCGTCTTATATGTTCACAGTCCTGTGTACAACAAACACTATGCCTCTTAGCTTTCCTGCAGCCGGGTGCATTCTTCATCTGTATAAGTGCTACTTCACCAGTAGGGGGCACCAAGCTCATGGCCTGGCATTGAGGCAGATGGTCACAGTGGCCCTTCAATAGGAGTCACATTCATTTAAAAACAGGTGTCAGCACAGCCCACGCAGGAGTCTCCGCAAACATCTCTGGATTACACATCTGTGGTGCGGATGCTGTCGTCATCCAGGCTGAAGGGAAAGCTGCAGCCGGTTTGAGGCTGAGGCTGCGAGCGGTGCCTTCGACGCCCACTCGCCGCATCTGCGGATGCTGTGAGCATCCCCAGTCCACTGGCCGAAGGTGCCGGATGTGTGACGGGGCAAGGATTTTGGGTAGAGAGGGAGTTTGAGGAGGAGGAAGCAGATGAGGAGGTGGACGAAGAGGAGAGTGGCACAGAGCTGAAGGCGCTGTCCTCATCCTCGTTATCCATGATAGACGGTTCACACGATGGAACGGGTGTCCAGGGCTGCCATCCTGGCGCCACAGAGCAGGACTTCACCAGCTGAGGTCTCCTATCTGCTTCACTCTGCGAACCACGAGATGTAGAGGAAGGATTGTAACTCCGATAGCACGAAGAAGCACGTTTAAAAGAAAAACCCTGCAATTAAAGAGACAAAAGCATCCCCGCTGTCAATCGTAAGCAAGGATTTACACTTTTCTCCCAATAACTTACAGCTAGAAGTAAAGAATTATCCATTTCTGAAGATAGAGTTACCTTAGAGGGACCCCTGAAATCCTGGATCTTCATCTGAATGTCCCTGATCCAACCATGCATTTCCTCTGGCGAGTCAGTCTGTAGAGAGAAAGGGCCCATGTTATGTTTCATGGTAGCTTTTGTGCCTGTTACCTGCCCTTTAATAAGGCCAAAACGCAACAACAGCAGTCGTCACACGGCGCTGTATACTGTAAGGTAAAGACCCAAAAATCAAACAATGCCCTATGAGCAAACACCTGGCAATGGCGGGAAGGAAAAACTCATTTTTAACAGGAAGAAGCCTCCAACAGAACCAGGCTCAAATTATCCATCTGCCAAAGGCAGAGCACCAGAACTCACTTCGGCAGTTAGTGAGGCATCAGCAAAGATATTGCTGGTGTTCGACAGCAACACAAATATTAATCATAAAAATTGAATGGGAGACGGAGCTTTCAGCTTCCCTCGTCTTTGGAGCAAGCTCCACAGACAAATCCAAACTGGCAACCCTGGACACTCTTTTCCCTTTTTGATAAAGCTTAAACTTAGGATTGGCTCACATGACCCCGTACCCTTCCTGAGTTACACTACAATATGTCTAGGCTGCTGGTGTGGACTGAGCATTTCTTCTTCACTCTCTATGTGTTTATACACCACTTTGCACTTAATCATTAGTTATTAATAATCTCTGGCTGTCTTTCCTCCTGTCCCCCTTTCCCAACCATAACTGGTCTTGGCAGATCGCCACCCCTTAGCCTGATTCTGCCAGAGGTGTCATCCTATTAAAAGCGAGTTTTCCCTTCCCACTGTCGTCAGCTGCGTGTTTATAGGGGGTCGTCTGATTGTTTGGGTTTTCTATTATTGTAGTGTCTTCATCTTATAATATAAAGCGCCTTAAGGGAACTATTATTGTGGTTTGGCACTACATGGGAATTGCCTGATGTTATCAGAAAAAAAAGCTAGAACAGTACTCAAAAATGATCCTCGGTGGTAACTGTACTTATTGTCATGTGTTTATGTTTGGAAAGAATGCACGACAGGAGATCACTATCCGCTCTCAAGCTATTAAAGGTGTGTAAGGACTCCAATATTCATCTTTATTTTAGCTTAGATCACTTTTTATTACAGTGTCCACACACGGAATGAGAAGTTGTGGTTATCCTGTTTTTATTTACTTCATTTTATTATTTCTTTTTCACACTTCCTTTTTTTCCCTTGCACAAACAAACAAAAGCGCTCTTGCCTGCAGTCTGTCTCTATCCCCGCACTTCCTATCTGATCCAGCCCCCAACGCCTCCGTCAGCTGTTCTCCCGGGGGAGAGGAGGGGGAACGGATATTATTGTTGTTATGATAACAGATGGCTGTGCCCCTTTCACAAAAACAAACTTCGCATGCTCCTTAAAAAAGCGACTGCGCCACACTTCAGCAGCAGAGCATTTAGAGAAAACATGTCGACAGATCAGGACGGTGTCACCAGGGAATACAGAGCTTCTCTGTTCTTATTCAAATGTCTAAAAATACAACAGGGACATTCCCTTCATTTCATGAATGCAGGCCTTTTTTTAATGAGTGCTGTATACAAAAGGAGAACAAGGTTTTACCTGAATGTAGAACGTTCGGTTACTGGTGATGATCTCAAAGAGGTTGTCTCTAAGCAGGAGCTCCCTGATGGATGCAAAAAGTTAAAACTTAAAGCAGCTAAAGAAAGGGACAAAAGCTAGAGTGTGTTCTACAGTGTCATTTACAATACTTATACATTCAAGTTCAGCAAGTATATACAAATGAATCTAATAGGTTCGCAAATGAAGCTCAACTTCAAGCCTAAAGTGACTAATTATTAAGGGAGAAAGAGAGGTTTCAACAGAGGGGGGAAAAACACTGTAACAGCGCATACAATAAGACGGTAGACATGAAAATAAAGTTTGTTTGTAATGTCCATTTATAAAAACGCCAAAAACTCATACTAAAGATCTGAACAAAAATATTTTCCATGTATTTTTTAAGACCATCCACAACTTCTCCAGCTGTCAAGTTGTATTCAGTGGCCAACTTTAATACTGGATCATGAGCTAAAACTATATAAACTATAAACTATATAAAACTTTATCTTGCACTGATATTTAAAAGGGGACCTATGATGATCATTTGCAGTTCCAGTTTTTCTTGGACTCTTGATTACAGTAGCTGTGAATTTACAATACTAAATAATTCTTAATTTTCTGCAATAGTTCATAATATGGCCTTTGACTAAGGACGTAATCCCCCTGTAATTAAATGGAATTTCTATGTATTTTATTTTAAAGTGTAATCTAATTATTTTTACCTACCTACAAATACTTAAAGACATGTATACCGAAAGTGCGCCTTATGTATGAATTCTGGTTGTGCTTACTGACCTCGAACCGATTTTATGTGGTTCACGGCACTCAAACATCTGTCAAAAAAATGTCTTAGTACGACTTTGGTAAGTAACGAAGCCGCACCGCTTGATGGATTGTCGGAGCATTGCGGCTACCGTAGTCAGGAGCATCGGAGTTATCTGGGTCCAAAACTCCTTCTACTTCAGGTCCCAAAGTCAAACGTACAATGCGGCATCACTGAGACTTAAAAACTGTCTAAATTCTTTCATCATTAATAAAATGATCAGCTTTGCTGCTTTACCAGGTGTAACAATTAAGTTTAACATCCAGGCATCCATGAAAACAGAATTTATTAAATCTAACAGAGTTCGAAGTTAGCAGGAAGTTAGCTCGCTAGTTTCCACCGAAACATGATGTTCTGACTGAGAGATTTCTGAAAAATTAAAACTTACAGCTCTGCTATAACTTCCAACATAAATGAAGACAGAAAACGAAACAGCAGTGAAGTTTGTAGGGTTACTGAAGTTGGACTAGCTGGTATATAATGATGTGCTACGTGATCGCTAGCATAACATAAACAGTGAAGCTGGAAGATGAATGCTTGTTTCGCTTAATGCACCTTATGGTCCGAAAAATACGGTACACTAGAATAAAAAGGGGGTAACAAGACAGGTTTCTAGAGGAAACAAAAAAATATTATATTGTAAATAAATCTAAGTAGTGCATAACTTGATGTATTTTACAGGAAAAAGACAGAAATGATACTGTAAGTAATTTTAGATATTTTGTAATTTCTTGGTCATTTTATGGATAAAAATACAATATTTCCCCATCTTATACTGTAAGTATGCTGTACTTTTTGGGGCACGGGCCATATTATGGAGTGCGTTTCAGTTATGCAATACTTAAAATTACTGTACCGCATAAAATTACTTACACAGTGCAATTATTTCAGTGTTTCCTGTAAAATGCTGACTTGTTAACACCTTTTGGTAGTCTACCTACCGTTAAGCATTTGTAGGGAAATATAATTAGATTGTAATTTCAAATAAAAAAGTTCAATTTAATTACAGAGAAATTACAGTTTTAGTCACGCGGCGTATTATAAAGTGTAACCTAATTTCCTAATACTGAGCCATGGTGCAGTTCCTCAGTTTATCATCTGTCTAAAGCTATTTGTTTTTGCTCACTTTGAGCCAGCTCTCTTCTGATTAGCTGCTTCTCGCAAACAGAAGGTTTGGGCAGCAGGTGAGAGGAGCTTCTCTGAGAAGGCTCACAGAGTTATGAGTAGAAAAAAAAAAATCTGGGTTTAGATCAGACTGAAGCCTACACGTTTGGCTCATAACGATCACATGTTGACCTCATTATTTCAAACTTTCACTACCTTTGTTCACACCATTTATAACTTATATTTAAGGGCCCCTTTTAAAACCTGTGAAACTCATCTAAAAATGATAAGGATAAACTTGTCCATACATGCAATGCAACACTTTAAAACCGGTTAAGAGTGTATCATCTGCTCACGTGCAAGTATTCACAATTGTTTACATAGTATAGCGATAACCAGACAGAGGGAAAGCAAAAATGCTGGCAGACTCAGACAACTTTCATGTTTTACTCACCCCGACTTGACGAGGCATTCATGCACCTTCTGAATGTCCCTCAGTGGAATAGATCGGATAAAATCTTTCTCCTAAGACAGATTTTTTGTTTTTGTATTATTGTGGGTTATTTTTTAATGTTTTGGCTGCTATAACACTGTAGTTTTCAAAAATTTGGGACAAAAATATTCCGACAAAGATAATAGTCACTCTTAAGCATGTAGAAACATGGGCAAAAACATGAAAACCCTGTTTTCTCACCGACTCAGTCTTGTAGTAATTGACTGCGTTGTCATCCAGGGTGAAAAACCGCCTCTTCCAGCTCTTCCTCTGAAACACATACCACATTACCATTTCCACACATGCTGTTTTTTACTCAGACTCAGTCTCAGTCTAAACCTGTTATGAGACTCACCACATTTCCCTGTTTAACACAGTAACCACATCTCAGCAAACCCGGCCTGTTGCCCTTCCTCTCTCTCCCTTCCGTCTCTTCATTGTCGTTCTGAAACATTTCATGAAAACCATCTTTATTATCACTTTAGATATCATGGTCACGGAAACCACCACTGTCGATAACTCAGACTAGCTTAGCACACCGCATTTTTGTGTGCTTTTGCCACAGTTTTCATTCTTATAATGCTTAAAAAAAAAAGTGTGTGTGTCCTATTCATTTTACCTGAATAGGAGTGTGCACCACCACGCCGCCAATAATCTCAGCCTTGTAGGCCTGTTGTCTCTTCCCTCCTTGAGCGTCACTGATCACTGTGGTCACATCAGGCCTCACAGGTGCAGGGCAAGACTTAGGCACCTGTGAAGAGACGGGACACCTCTGAGAGCAAATAAAAGGACTTAATTGTTTAATTTCCACAGCCGCTCTTCCTCACTCTGGGAATACTTTCTTAGTCATACGCTCGCCACAACACCGTGACTGTTTTACTGCAGAGATAACTGAAAACACATCAAATGTGATCTGCTATGAGAGATTGCAAGCTTTCTCAAAGTCCACTGATGCACAAAAGCGCAACCAAGTGTATCCAAGCAAATAAAACCCACTGGACACACAAATGTTAGCGTGGGGTGTATATCAAGTAGGGAGCAGGAAAAGAAGAAAAACAACAGATTTGCAGGTGCATGCTGGTCATAAAGTAAAAACAATAGTACGGCTGTGTGATGCTGTGCTGCATTTTCTGCTTTTAGAGCCGTTATCTAGCCTACAGTTTCCCAAAACTGGTCATTCAGCTGAATCATTCAGCTAAATGTATAATTTCCTAATAAACTGCAACACATCTAGCTCAAACAGACAAATATTAAGAGATGCATTTTAATAACTTTACTCCCCCCGTGCCACTTTTATTCCTGTAATTACATCATGATTTCCTTTTTTACACTCGCTCAGAAAAAGAAAAAGAAAAGATGAAAGAAGAAAAAAAAAAAAAAAGGCGGCAGAGCAGCCCTGCCCTCGATGGGGAAGTGAAAAAGAGTGAACAGTGCCGCTTCCTGTGTCAGTGAGCAGGTGAGAGAGGCAGAGAGACACTCTTCTCTGTTACCTTCCATCAGGAGACATCTGAGTATCACTGATCAACGAGGCTCCCGGACATTTCATTGAGCTCACACAAATATTATGCAAATACATATGAACAAGTTTCGACACCTTCACCGCAGTGACGTTTGCGTTATCACTCGTCTTCTTGCACATTCACAGTTTCCTCATTCAGCAATGTGTGTATGTGTGTGTGTGTGTGTGTGTGCGAAGGGGTATCTGTGGGGAACGGGCTGGCATTTGCAGCCGCCTGGGTCAAACTGGTTTCAGTCCCACCGCAGCAAAATTGCAGCTTCCTGCACTCAGGTGGAAACAACACCCACTCCCCCACCCTAACACCACCAATAACTGCTAGATCAAGCATTTTCTCATGTAATGGCACTTACTGTTATCTTGCTGGCCTTGTTGAGAGCAGCCACCCAGTCTCTCATGTCGGTCACATCATTGGCTTGCAGGAAGTACCGTCGCGAAAGTGCATTGATGACTGCCGGAGAAGAAATCAGTTCCGTAAATATCCACATTAAATGCAATGGACAATACTATCACATATGGGAGGTTATGTGATTGTGAACCATTTCATCAGTGTCACTCTGTTCCTCCCTAAAAAACTCACCAAAGCAGAACTCTGTCTTGGGCTTTTGCTTCGTTGTAGCTTCACTCACCTGAGGATAGAAGAAGAGAAAAGAAATGTGAATATAAACTGAAAGGAGTGAAAAAAACAGAGGAATAGAAGATTCACATTTTTGACATAGATCTGACTGAGTGTCCAGGGAGAAGCCGTCAGCGCTGCAGTGCAGAGGAGCCAGATGTCATTATCTGTGGTAACCTCAGTGAGCGCGCTGACATCTGGAAAACTTCACAGCGTCTGCCTCAGCTCTGCGCTGCATGTGACCGTTAACTAGAGATAACTCTGACCTCTTTGTGTATCTATGAACTCTTGCACGAATTTGCATGCTATTTGTGTGTATTCTGTGAATTCTTGTGTGCTCGCATTTTAGATATCTAAGTTGGTGCGCTGGACTTTACTGTATGCAACCACACTGCGGAGTCAGTCATGAAAGTGGTTTACCTTAGAGATGTAGGTTAATTTCAGGCTGCCAACAGAGCTGGCTCCACTGGGCAGGTTCTGCATACAAACACAAATACACAGACTCGTCGTTGGCTCAGAGTCCAAGGTTATATGACCACTATTGGTCAATTTCATTTCCTCTTGCTATTTGTGAAAGTGTGGGTCGTGCATGCGCGTGTGGAGCACCTGAGGGTTGTCCATATACCACAGCAGTGCATTTCCCTGCGTGTCAAGGATGAAGTATCGTCTCTGGAAGCGGCAGCTGTTCTCCTTCTCTTCGATGTCCAGGAAGCCGCACACACGGTTCAACCGGTCCACGTACGGCATGCTGTCGATATCACATATCACTGGGGACAGACGGACAGTTAGGAAGAGAAAGATTCGAGTGGGATGGACAAAGAGAGACAACATGTGAAAGGAGCAACAGGAGGCAAAGACAGGCAGATGTGGAGGATAAATCATCTTTCATTTAGTGTTCAAGCGCACACAGGCATGCATGCGCGCACACACGCAGGAAGAAATAGACCACTCGCACTCAGCAGTTTTTCATGTGACGTGATTGAGGCTGTGCAGCAAACCCTGAAGCCCGAGGCTGAGCTGAGGCCCTCCACCACAGCCAAAAATTACAGACTGCACTCATGATCTGCACACACGCACATTTCCATTGGCCAGAGAAGAGAGAAGAGCAAGGAGAGAGGAGAGGGAGGAAAGGCAGGGAGCGAGGGAGGGAAGAAAGAAGATGAGAGGAGGGGAAGAAAGCTGGTGAGATGTGTTCATTGAAACAATGCCATGCGTGTGAATCACCAAGCTGCTGACTGATTCCTCAACACAGTCGAGGATCATTTGGCCCAGAGAGCCTCAGCTCTATAGACTTTTAATTACATTTTATCAATTGGCAAACATTTCATAGTATTTATTTTTCTTATGGGGAACCACAAGGCTTATGGCTTCATTTATATTCTTGTCCTCCTTAAGTTGCCAAAGGAACTTTCACTGTTGACGGAGCCTCTTTTGCATCTCTGTCAACTAAATGTGAAGTAATCACAAAGACAAACTCCAAAGTTGGATTCACCCAGTAAAATAAATAATCAAATAAATTAATAGATCCATTTGGAAGATCCTTACTAGATTTGAATCTATGGAAAAACTTGAATGTAATGACAAAGGTAATATGATGGCAAACTAGGCCACATCTGTGACTGATCTTTTTATACAAGACCAAAAATTATAACGTGACAGTCATATAAAATACATAATCAAGACTGAATGGCCGTGCGCCCTGCCAGTACTTTTTTACGGGCTCGTCCTGGCTTGGAAGCCTTCAGGAGATGGAAATTATCAACATTTCCATGAAAATATTCAGACAACCCGCTCAGAGGAACAGAAGACAAACACAGACTATGTCTTCACCGTGCCGATGAATCTCCAGTGAATCTATTTTTGAGTTCGTGGGTAAGAAAATGTTTCATTTTGAAACTGCTTTGAAAAAATTAGTGGGTTGTGCTTCTGATGTGTTAGTCTGCTGCTATTTAAATAGGTCAAAGATACAGAGGCGCTCTACAGAAAGCCTTGGTGTAATGGAAAAATGAAAACGATGCCACAGAGGTCAGCTCTGACAGTAGCACACTCCCCACACATGCACCCATGTGCACAATAAACCATTTTGGGCATCAGAAAACATCTGGCTTAGCCATTATGAAGACAAACAGCGGCGAAACTGTGGCATCTTTGGTAAAACTGACAAATGTCATTTCAACTGTCTTTACATTTCTATCAAGTACCTTAGCTTTGAAACGTGGCAGGATAATATAAACAGAGCAATCATCAGTTTGTGTGCAGGAAAACAGAATGTACAGATCACAGCAGCGATATTAATTGACTTATACCACATCCAAGGTAATGAAATGAAAACCACCTACAGCACCTTTACATATCTGCTTCATCTGTGTGCAAACAACACAGTTTGACAGAAACTGATAGTAAATCTCTTAGACCAACGTGTGGCATGTCTGACAGATTTAGTCATGTTCTTCTTAATCGTTGGGGGAAACTTGTTACAGACATATTACAGCAGTGCAGCATCTTTTGTTCTGCCTGGTAAATGCTTTACTTTGTTCTCAGATTTATCAAAGTTCACCCCAGAGCTGCTAAAGACAGGCTCGGTAGTTCTTCCTCTGGTATTTGAGTTAACTTTGAGGTGTGAAAACGGTGAATAGCTCCTTAATAAAATAAAAATACAGTTTGTTGTGTCATCAAACAATCTTCACCCAAGTAGTTTCAACACTCCCTACAATCACTTTTATGTAAAATTTAATTAATAAATAAATAAAATGATCTTAAAGGATTATACAAAAGCAGAAATCCGGATCTTGAAATCCGGAACACAATTGGGGGGTTTTCGTCTAGTCTGGAGCGCTATTTTAAGATGTTTGGCATTTTGTGGACCAGTTAATCGAGCAAGTCGTTTAACTGACAGTAAGAGCTGCGGCGTGCAGCACGCCCCTGGATACCAAGCTTGACTGCCATGCGCGTGCATGTCCAACGTGATTATGAGCATGCAATGAAAAGTGTCAAAATGTGATCAGGCGCAATTACTCAGCAACACCTGACAGACATTACATTTGTTCAGCTCAGATGACCTGCACTGACTCACCAGATCCAACGACTCAACGGCCAGCCACACCTACTGTACCGCGCGCGCGCACACACACACACACACACACACACACACAAAGTCACAAAGTCCCCCTGTCGACTTAACTTACCCGCTATGGAGAGTCGGCGTGCGCCAAAGCCAGCGCCCCGCAGGGCTACGAAGCAGCGGAGAGAGACGCGAGTTTGGTGAACAGAAGCATGCTAAATAAAGTTTTTAAAACCTAAAATAAGCCGTGGATATTCGCAAGACCGGCGTGCGTGAAACTCCGACACCCTCTTCAATTTGTTTGTGTGATCCGATTTCAGAAGACTTGTCCTTTTTTCCGGGTTGGACGTTTCGTTATTAGAATAAACCAGCCCCGGATGTGATCTATGCGTCCCATGAGCACAAGCAGGGCTCTCCTCCTCCTCCTCCTCCTGTCTGCTGTTGCTTTAATCTGAACAGGTCTTTTTTCTCTGTCACACACATACACACTCTACTTTTATCTTCAGTTTTAAGTTTCAAAAAAAAAAAAAAAAAAAAGACAAACACGAGACGCACACACTCAGATGAACCCGGTAGTTCACATAGAACAGCTGAAAGGGAAGGGAGTGTAAACCTGGATAAACAGGAATACAAGACTCACAGTGTCATTACCGCTGGTAGGTGAGGCTGACAGGTGCGAGATGTTATGCCAAAAACAGTTGGTGCTTTAAAATATATATATGAAGCAAGCCTAAAGTTAAAGGTTCTCCACCAAAAGCGAGGCTGTTGTTCAAATTTAAAGATATTAACTGCCTCACGGGAACCATTTAAAATGCTGTTTCAAACGCTTTCACACATTAAAAAGGAAAAAAAAAATCAACTTCGTCGTGTAGTTGTAAGTGTATTTGTTGATAGATCTCCTCTGCAGACCTTTAACCCCATAAATTCTCGTGTCACATGACCAGTGTCATCAATAGCAGCCGCGCGCCTGCATGAAAGTCCTGCATTATTTAGATAAAGAGAAAACGGTCGGTTATGCCGATTAGTGCGTGCTATTGGAAGAGTTGAGTGTTGTAGCTGCATGTGATCCCGTGCAACAAAAATATGCAAAACATATTCCATGAAAAAGCATTTGTGGTTATCAGACTTATATTTACTAACCTTATATCCCGAAGCACGACCGTTGAAGCACAGCGACAAAGCACTAGTGTAGCCCAGTGCTATCAGAGACAAACATCCAAAGTTAAAGAAGACACATCAAAAGCAAATATATGCAAGTGTGGAGGAGTTTAAGGCTGTCAGTCAAAGGTGTTCATGGAAATTCAGGCTTTAAACTTATACAGAAAGGATCCTTTTTAACACATTACCTTATTGGCAGTTTCTATGGGTACTTAAGTTGAAGAGCTCATAGATAAAACTTAAGTATCTTAAATTTGTCTAACTTGCAAAACAGCAACTTCAGTGTTAAATGTTGTGTAAAATAATAAGTCATCCATCTGACATTGCCACAGGATGTAAAGAAACTCAGCGTATTCTAATAAAATGCTTAAAGCCTGCTTTATTCCACCTTTACACAAAAGTGACAATTGAGGTCTGTGATGCAACACTTGAGTGATTTAAAAAAAAAAAAAAGAGGGCTTAAAAGGTGAACTGACCTGACCTCTCAGTTTCAACATCTCACTCCAAGTTTAGTCAAGATTCTGGTTTTAAAGTTTTCACACATGTAAAGTCTCTCCTGGATCTGAGCACGACACCTTTGTAAGTGCTGAAATAACAAATATCTACATTCACAGGAGGGATTCTGTGTTCACTTTTGTTGCTTTCGGCAAAATTGTGTCCTCCTGTTAAGAGGAAGTGGTTGCACGTCATATGACCTGCCTCAGGACGGAGACCTACCTCACTGATTTCATATCCTGTGGCGACTGCACTGAAATTAACTTACACTGTTGCAAAAGGAAGCTTTGAAGTTTCAGCAGACCCTTCTGCTGCTGCTGAAAATCACAGACTGAATGTTTCCTTTACTGTACAGAAGACGCCCGAGGTGTGCTTTTACATCAGAGACATTAACATAAACACAAATTTAGTGAGGAGCAGTGTGTCAAATCCCACACCAAGGGTACCTGAGCCACAGTTTACCATGCACTGCACCCACACACGAAACAAGGGTGTGATTAGGTCTTTATTCAGACAAGCTTGCATACAGATAAAATAACAAAGCATCATCACAGACAATTTTTAACCTTTTAAATCAGTTTCAGATTACCGTGCGAAAGAGATTCGTTTTGTGGTTCTATGGTGTGAAGCAAGCTAGCTGTGCACTAAACTAGTGAGGCACCCCTTAGTTACCAAAACCACACCCGAGTCCCCCCCCCTGGGTGCATCAGAGCTGTGAGCTGTTCTTAACTTTGTACACATTTATTCACCACAAACACTCCCCAGGTTCAAATCCTCTTAAATTCAACAAGCTGCTACAGAGAACAAGGGTACTGTTTGAGAGGATGATAACTTAGACAAAGGAAGCAGCTTTAAAGCAGCTTGTACCTGCAGAACAGACCACACTCCCTTCCACCACAGCCGTCAAAAACCCTTGTTGAAACACGATATTTGTCACAAACCACATGAAACTCTCTGCAACTCAAATCCCTTTTTTGAACTTAAAAATAAAACAGATAAAGAGGAGGTGATGAATCACTGGAAGGAAAATAAAACAAAAAAAGGGAGGAAGAGATGAAGGAATTTACAGCTGACTCAAGGCCATACGCAGCAGCAGGGCTGTGATCAGCAGGACTGGGCTGGAAGAGATTGCCCCTGTGCTGTTGTGATGACCACCGTGGCTGTGACTCTTGTGGGGCCCGTTACAGTCATCGCCAAAGCAGCAATGCATCTTGGCTCCGGAAGTGCCGCTGTTAGCCTTGTCACAGAAGGCCTTGTATGTGCACGACTTCATAACTGTGTCTGAAAGAGATCGGGTCAGAGAGGGTGACGGGTAAGCTGCGTTGAAGTAACTGAAGACTTTCCAAGCACGCAAATGGACACACACATAAAAGATGTCATGTGACCAATATGTGGAAAAAAATTTTTTAGGTCATTTTAGTGCTTAGAATATCATCAGATGCATCTGATCTGTTACGGATTCACTCTGTGAAATAACAATCTCAGATTTTTGTTACCAACAGAAAAAGGTCTTGCCACAGCCCCTTCAGCTAAATGCATGAGAAAAGAGAAGCAGCTAAGTGAGTTTTATTAGTTTGTGGTTTATGGATTTTAATATCGACTAAAAAAAAACTCTTTATGGAAATGGAAACTGTTTAAGCACTATTTTAAGGAGCACTGGTTTCCTGAATCTGTGACACAATCAAGCAGTGGGTTGTCAGTGTTGTGCTGACCTCTAGTGAGGCACTACTGTCCAATCACATCATACTGGTTCTGCTTGTTTTTCTGTGTGTGTTTGTACATGTATATGTGTGTGAGTGTTTACTCACTGGGCCCTGTGATGGTGGAGCAGGCATCAGCGTACTGAGGACAGGTGGTGGAGCCCTGACGGTTGCAGTCTTCCTCATTGGACGCCACGCATGTGTGACATTTGAGAGCATGGCCTTCACAGACAGAACAGGAGAGAGTGCCTGGCTTGAGACTAAGCATGCATATTCAAAAAGTGGCTGCAAGCATGCAGGTATGCAACCACCTTCTTATTAGTCCATTCACCCACACACACACACACACACACACTGAGCAGAGTATCCAGCTTCTGTCGCCTCCTACAATTTGAGACTGGGGAACATCTGCACACACTCAAAGGTATTTAAGTATGTCCAACAGACAGGCTTAATTTGAAATATAGTGACTATATTCTCCCCCAAAAATGGATTCTCTCCACCACAAAGTCTCCAATTAGTATGTAATCAGCAAAGTTGATCCCTTCTCCTAAAAACTTACTGTGGCAGGCCAGAGAGATGAACAGCAGCACAGCCAGAGCAGTCTTCATGGCAGCAGGGCGATGGGTCACTGTGTCTTTTCAGAGTCCAGAGAAAGAGTGGATGAGCCGAGATGAGCGTCTGATGGAGGAGACACGGGAGGTTGAGGTGGAGCTGGAGGGGAAGGTGTCTGAGGGCATTAAAGTCTTATCGCTGTAATCTCCATCTATGATGCACAGCCAGCACACTGCTGTAATTGACTTAAAGCAAGCTTTCCCAGGGAGAGACACACGGTTAGTTTGGTGTTATTAACAGAATTATGAGGTAATTTGTTTGTTTTTCTAACTACTAAAGCTTTTTACAGTGTGCATATAAAATGTAATGTATGTGCAAAATGTAAGCGGTATGCATCGTAATCAGCAGCGAGTCCAAAGCTGCGGCCATCACATGCACACTGACACATACAGAGAACTCAGACAGGAAAACAAAAATCAAACATAGCAGAACAAATTCTATTTAGGTTTATTCAGGAAGGCTGTACAAACGCTCAAGTCGCTTCCACACAGGAGTGAGATCGTCATTTCTAATTCACAAATATATATTTAAATAATTACAGGGGCTAAAGTTACAAAGCCAATTAAGTTATCCGACATTAAGAAAGTTACAGTAGTGACTGACCAAAAAGTACCAACACCAAAATGAAAGGCCTATATTTTTAGTTTATGATAAAACCTGAATGAGCTTTGATCTTTTCACACATTTCTTTTGTTTTTCTAAAAGAGAAAACTTTTTTCTGTATAATATAGGAACCAGCTCAAATTTTACTGTTGTTGCGGCGCTGTGCCGATCTAGTTTTTATTGGTGTGCTAAGAAAAAACTGTGTGCATTCTGAAAAATGCAGAGATGTGAAAGTAAACATGCAATAAATTGATATTTTTCTCTTGCATTAGTAGTGTACTGCTGTAAACACAAGCAATAAGGCTCACATGTTCATCATCGCACATAAGCAATGGAAAAAAATACAAAGGTGTCAGAGTCTGAGAGATAAATGTGATTTAGTGAGCAATCGGTGACATACTGAAAGTTAAACAAAAACTGTTGACACACAGAACAGCAGCACTTAAAATAATATAATAGCCTTTAGCTGACATACAGAGTGACTCTTTTTCTCCTTTCCAGCTGTTCGCGATCATTAACACCAGTTAGTCAAATTTGTGTTTATGCACACAGGATGAAGCCGTGAATTTTTGTGATTGTCAGGTTAATTAATTAATTTTTTTACATATAAAGTGACTGATTAATATTCTGTGGCTTTTTGAATTGTCGAGCATCCCAAACGTGCCGCCGTCTGAACCAGTTTAAACAAATGATATTAATTATGTGCAGCTTGCTTTCAATATCATAACTGAACAAACAAACAAAAGCCTCTGTGGGCTGCTGTACTTCCTCAAATGATCCTAAACCCCTTTCTTCCCGTTTTGTGCAGCTTGACTTTAACCTTGACCTCATTCAACCCTGACGAAA